AGAAAACTGTTGCAGCACTTGCCTTGCTTTTCGCAATCCACAGGTAACTTTGTGCCTAATTAGTGATTCATTGTAGTAATGGAAATTAGGATTACTTTTATATATAAAAATTTCTGACTTTTGTGCTGCACTATCTTATCAAATATTCTGCTGTTTGGGGGGTTGGCTATTTCTGTTAATGGAGTATGTACACGTAACCAACCATATTACTTCTATTTTATGTGCATAAATATGTCATCGTGAGCACATTGTATAATGCTGTCAAAAGATGCAGTCTGTATTCAGTGAATTTTATTGCATTCATTCTATTTCCTTATGAGAGTCTTGGCTTTGCCAAGACCATGTTTTCATTGCTATTACCGTGTAATTTCAGTTTTAGGCCTTCTCCATTCTTTATATTGGATGAAGTTGATGCTGCATTGGATAATTTGAATGTTGCCAAAGTTGCTGGATTTATCCGATCAAAGTCATGTGGAGGAGCTAGGCTTAATCAGGATCCCGAGGAAGGATGTGGCTTCCAAAGCATTGTCATCTCTCTCAAAGACAGCTTTTATGACAAAGCCGAAGCTTTGGTTGGTGTTTACAGGGATTCGGACTTGGGGTGAGCTTTTGCGTACTATCTCTCTTATCTCCTACCCGTCTCCCTTTCAACCTTCTTGGATTTTGATGTGGCATGCTTTCTTTTTTATTCTTTCAGTTGCTCGAGGACATTGACATTTGATTTGACCAAGTATCGGGAATCATGAAAGGCCAATTAGCTGCTGTTTGAGATTTACTCACCGTATGATTTCTTTCCAGATTGTATATAGGTGCTATTTGTCGTTGTAAAGCATTTAGGAATAATCGTACGGACATCTGGGAAAATTGGTTCACTACTAGTTTCCTCGGTCTTTTTGAAATTGATTCAGTTTAGTGCTTTAGTATGAGTTAGTTCGTCATGTTAAAGTACTGATGTTGGTGTTAGTGATGTGTGGCTTATTTCGGTTTTCACCAGATGTGAAAAGACCTGCATATGGTGCTCCATGGCGAATGAGTATGCTTGAAGGGGTGGGGTCTCTATAATATCTCTTATGTAGACTTCAGAAAGTGTTCATGCTTTAAATTGCGGACACCGGTGGTCACAGAAGTCTCTTATTATTGTTATTTATTTTGGCAATATAGTGAAGCTTGTGGCATTAGATTAGAATTTATCCAGAAATAAACTAAATTTCTAGGAAAGGAATAAATCCTTGCTATGAAAAATGAAGAAATGTTTCATGCCACATGCTTGACTATATTTATCGGAACTAAATGGAGGTCATTGAAGCGCCGGATTTTGCGAAAAGATTCATTGTACATGTTTACCTAAAAAGTCTCGTCAATCAATTCTTCGTCAAAATATTGCATATATTATCCAAACGAGGAAAAGATAGATGCTATGATTCCCTTTTTTAAGTAGGTCTATAGTCTCAAAAGGTTTACTTTTAGAAAACAGCTAGGACATCTTCTAAATTTAATTGAATTGTTGTTTACGTCGAACAAGAATAATAATGATGGAGGACTTCCTCTGTCTCATTTTATCCGTGTGGTTTCTAAAAATAATTGTTTCAAATTATTTATCATTTTAAAAGTTTAAGAGTAAATTAATTATTTGTTTTCAACTCTACCCTTAATATTAATTATTTTTGAAGACTAAAAATACTTTAATTATGAGTAAGTACTAAATGAAGAGAGATTATATCTTAAAATATAAATAAAGATAAAATAATCAAAAATCTTTCCATATTAATTTTTTTTTAAAAGCGAGAAACATTATAGATAATTTAAGATGGAGGGAGTGCATGGGTTGTGGCCCCTTTGGACACAACTATTTATAACACCAAGAAGTCAACTACTGGCGTTGTTGATAAAATAAAGGGATACTAACGTGCTTGTGACTAAATTTTAAGCTAATACGAATTACAACTTATCACGACTCTATTTATATTATTAAATTTTATTTTGTGACTCAAATATTTATAAAACATATATGTTGGTGTTGATTGTTCATCTTTATAGGTTAAGAGTGATAATTTTAAATGCCAGTGTTAAATTATAAATGTGTAAAATGGTATCTACGTTCTATTTAACAATAACCTTTCTTATCGTTTAATTTCTATAGTATACTTAATTAATATTTCTGAAATATGAAACGTTTGCATATTTATTACTTTGCACGTATATACTGAAACATAGACTCTCAAGAAAGAAAGAAAAAAGATCCAAAATCACCCTTCCTCGTCTCTCCTCCAAAAAGTCAAATTAATATGGACGGGATTCTTTTGGAATATCAGACCTTTAAACCAAAATAAAAAAGAAAAAAGAAAAAAGAAAAAAGAAAAAAAAATATCTAGAGGGTCATCAAACATTTAATATTTGGATGGCGCCCTCAGCTCCAATAATACTAACGGTTGAAGCAATAGTTTTTGACATTATTTTTGAACAACAACAACATATTCACATCCTCTGGTTTTGGTTCCATAAACCAGAGGGAGAAAAGACGCTTTAATTAATTTGCTATGGCCTGAGCTGTAAAAAATCCAATAATAATAATCTTGAAGAATGCGGGAGGAAGCTGTTGTGCCTGTGGATATAATTGATGATATGAGCAGTGAAAATGATGATATTGATGATGAACAACAACATATCTCTGATCAGCCTGCAGGCCAATTAGCTTGTCCTCTTGACCTGAAATCTTCAAGAATAAACGCTTTGCTTAGATTACGATGTAGGGTTGAAGACGCCATTCTTGGTGGTTACATTTACGGCAAAAATAAACACAAGTCGCTCTCTTCCAGATTATGTATTACAGAAGATTTGAGGGACATTTCTTTATGGGGTGTTCCTTTATTGCCAAGTAAAGGGAACCCTAGCACGGATATTGTTTTGATGAATTTCTTGAGAGCCAAGGATTACAGCGTTTACGACGCGTTCAAGATGCTGCGAAAGACGTTGAGATGGAGGAGAGATTTTAGGGTTGCTGATATTCTTGAGGAGAAATTTAGTCCTGAGCTTGAGAGTTTGTGGTACACAAATGGTAAGGACAAAGAAGGCAGGCTTTTGTGTTATAATGTGTTTAGGAATATAAAGAATAAAGAATTGGAAGAGGAAATTTGGGGTAGGCATCATCACCACCAAGAATGTCTTAGGTGGAGAGTACATATTATGGAGAAAGCAATTCAACAACTTGATTTTAAACAAGGAGGGGTTAATTCCATTCTTCAGATTATTGATTTGGGAAATTCACCAGGAAATTCATGGAAAGAGGTTCGTTGGATTAATAGGAAAATGATGAGCTTGGTTCATGATCATTATCCTGGAATCATCTACAAGAATGTAAGTGGAGTAATTTATTTGTTCTATTGAATAGGATTAAATTAATGAAATGAGAATTTGCATGGAAACTAAAATTTGTGATCATAATTAATATTGCAGATATTCATTAATGTTCCTGTTTGGTTTTCAACGGTCCATGCACTTAACTTGAGAATGATCACACAAAGAAGCAAGAACACGTTCATATTTGTGAAGCCATCAAAAGTTACAGAGACCCTTCTCAAGTAATTAATTAGTGAAAATTCTTTTAATTTGCCCTAAGATTTGTGTTTTTGTTGTCTTGAATTAATTTTCTTGTGTCATGTGTGTAGGTATATTAGCCCGGAAAACTTATTGGCTCATTATGGTGGACTCAAAACAGAGAATGATGTTGAGTTTTCAACTGATGACAAAGTTCTAGAGATAAGCCTCAAACCATGCTCTATTGGCCTCATTAAAATACCTGTCAAAGAGGTACGCAGTATTTGCGCCAATGCGTAGTTTTCATTATGTGATTTCATTTCAATTTATGTCCATGTCATGTATAGGCACATGAAGCCTACCGAACTCAATGTTTTGGACACAGAATACACATATATAATCATTAAAATTCAACAAATATTATATTCTAAATCCACATTTACAAAAGTACGATAAGAATATTAATGGTCATTTTGTTTACAATTTTAGTTATTCTAGATTATAGTGCAAGAATTGTTTCAATTGTTAATGTAGTAAATAATTATACAAAGATTGCTATATAAGAATTTTTTAATTAAGGCACTTTTGTCTTTAGTACTCTTATTTATGCGTTGCTAATATGCGTATGCTTATTTCATTTTTTATCCTATGTAAAATATAATTATAAACATTGCATAACTTAGTGCATTTCAATACTAGTAATCAAATGATGTACTTATTAGTTATACCGGATTGTACTAGTTATGCAGGATTTTATACTGGATCTAAGCAATATACAGTCAGACCTCTCTATAACAGCATCGCCATATAACAACTATTTACTATAAAGGCCAAATTTTTATAGAATCAATTTTCATGCTATGTCATAATATATGTTCTCTATAACAATACTTAGCTATAACAGTAAAATAAAATCCGGAACAAATGAGGCCGCTATAGAGAGATTTGACTATATAAGTAATACGGAATTTTCTACGGAAACAATTCTTATACTTCCAACCCGACCACCTCAAGATTAACCATCAAATATAAATCCATGCAAGCATATATTGTCTCAAGAGATGAACACTGATCTCAATTCCTTGTCTCTTGCCATAATGTCTTATGAATTATAGGTTGAAGTGACCATAACATGGGATATGATGGTGGTGGGAAATGAAGTTACTTACAGAGAAGAATTCATACCAGATGATGATTGCTCATACGGAGTTTTGCTTCAAGAAGAGAAGAAAATGGTGGACAGTGTACGCAATTCCTTTCATATTAGAGAAGAAGGGAAGATTGTGATCACTATTGATAATCCTACGTACAAGAAGAAAACAGCATTCTACAGATACAAGACTAAACCTAGTGTACCCATTTATATGTACCTAAAGTAACTCACTCTTTTCCTATTTAATTACTACTTCTTTTTTTTAAGTTTCTATACTCCGATTTTCTTATACTATATGTTAACATGGATTTCATTCCATTTGTAAAAGAGAAATCTTTAATAAACAAAGAAAGAAATCGTTTACATATATCCAACCTTGTGTAGTGTTACGTTTTTTTCTCCAAAAGTCTTAGACTCGTACAGTTGTATTAGTCACAGGCTGATTTGTTTGGAAGGAAGAATGTTGTGCTTATGCTTATGCCTGTACGTATGTTTACCCGGAAAATGGTAATTACAATTATATTTGATTTTGTGGTTCCAAAAATACGTGATCTATTTTAACACTAGTTGTTAGGCAATAAATGCTAAGTGTAAGTATAGAAAATAAGAAATGCAAACTAATAGGGTCACAAGGCTAGGTCTCGAGCTGGCTGGAGCAGAGCCTCGAGGTCTAGATGGGGCCAATAGTAATGAACAATTGATGAAGAATTAATGACAACGCGGGCCTCAAAGACGGCCTTTTGTGATTAATAGCGAGCAATAAATGAAGAACAATAAATGAACAATGAATAAATAAGCAATAAATGTGAAGAACAATTGTGTTAGCAAAGAGCAGAGAATGTTGTATTGTATTCAATATGTTATGTAAAAATCCGAATTCGCTTACAAGATGACAAATGTCCCCTTTATATATGAGGGGGAATCCCAACATAGTACAAGTTTAATAATAACGAGGAAATGCTACTGGTACAGCTGTATAATGACTTAGTACGGATTAGTACTATTCTTTGCAGACCTGGTCAGCTCTAACCACGTGTATTTGGGAATTTTCCCACCTCTCCATGACGATCATCGATTGTACTGCTCCGAGGTCGACCACAGTGAGCCCTTCGATATGCTCCCTCGAGGGACACACCTCGCGCTCTGCTTCGGGCTTAGTAGCCCCAGAATCGAATTCCACAATTTTGGCCATATACAACGTACTATCGGTTTTTTTTTTAATTTAAAAATTGGAATAGTTGAGAGCACATTGTACTAAGATGTTCGCACGTTTATGTTGGTGTTTTCTCCCATCTGAAATAAGATTAGAGCTGTTTCCTTTATGAACTTCAATACGAGCTTACGAGTGCGAAATTGATCAAAAACGTTGAAGACAATGAATACAGTAGGTAGAGATCAGGGTACACTTTTGGTTATCTGTTAGTATCCAATTCGTGGAACTATGTACTCTCTCCATTTCATTTTATGTATCATTATTTTTTTTGCCCCAGA